GCATATTTATTATAATACCATTTTAACATAGCTATTTTGTGAAGCTATTATTTTTCATGTTAGATGTTTGCCATTTTAACATAGCTATTTTGCGAAGCTATTATTTTTCATGTTAGATGTTTGCCATTTTAACATAGCTATTTTGCGAAGCTATTATTTTTCATGTTAGATGTTTGCCATTTTAACATAGTTATTTTGCGAAGCTATTATTTTTTTCATGTCAGGTGATTAGCCTAAACTTATACGACAAAATATTTCTGTTTAATAAGTAAGACCATATGTCATTTAACTTTGTTTATAAGCGACAAGTATCAATTTAGTGATGTTTCTATATTGCCTTTAATATACTGAGCTTATTAACGTAAATAATGCTTTAAAATAAAAATATTTTATATTCACAAGACATTAAGAATTAAGTTAAGCCTAATTAGTAACAAACGGAATTTTTGTGTGTACAGAATTTTGACCTTAACGCCCAGAAAAATGAGTTTATTGACTCCTTCGCTTTATAAAATGTTTGGACATTACATTTCAAAGGAAAATTATTAGGCTAAAACTTCAGTATATATAAATTCTCCTTACTTAACAATATATATTATGTTTTTGCAACTTAAATGCCACTGAAATTGTTACAAGATTTACAGAAATTATTAATGTTAATTAAAGTAACAGAAATACGTTAAGGTTATAACATGGTGCATTATTTTTTACTCTATTCATCCCTCGTGTTTTAAAATAATCATATACATCGTCAGCCAAAGCTAATCATTAAACGTTCGAAATAATTACATTTATTCGCCCGCCAAAGCATCGGGTAATTTTCGCTAATTACAACCTCACCATAAAAGATAGTTTGTTTATGATCGAATTTAATCTTGACTTTCAAAGTCTATACTTGCTAATTTTAATATTTATCCTATCTATTTCCAATATTACCACGCTTCTACTCAAATAGACTGCATGAGCTAATTATAAACGTTTCTATGATGCATAAGATATATCTTTATTTGAAAAGTTTTTATGGTGTACAAAACTTGAAGATGGCTTTCATATGCAGAAACATCTGTTTGCTGAGTTCTTGCACAGATCGTAAAATATAACGTTGATAAATGGAAACATCGGCACATGTAGATATGTAGAT